AAGTTAATACAAAATGTATGCTGCTGTACTTATCCCAAAAGTTACATTAACACACACACATCCATCTAGAAAGTAGGAGAAAGACACACAAATACACAATGTATGAATACAAAGTAGGCAGAGATGAAAGCAGTACAGAAGGAACCAGATCAAGGAGGCTTCAAACGCCAATCCAGAGCTCATGAACACCTGTGAACAAGGGGAAACAGTGAGGGTTTCTGAGCAAGGGAAGATCATGAACAGTTTTCTTTCAGCAGGAAGATAATTTTGGCAGCCAGAAAAGAGGGAGAAGATGGAAGGACGGGGCCTCCCCAGTGGCACAGCAGGTTGAGCACAGCACTGTGAATATCCGCAGCCTCTGCAGCACGGGTTCGATTCCCAGCCGGCCAGGGAGATTCCCACATGGCGTGGCAGACCTCTGCTCTTGCGCCCACTGCTCCCCTCAGCAGTGTATTTTGTCAGTCTGCCTGTTCTGCTTCCCGCTCTGTCTCTGGTGAATCCTTTCACCCTCCCGCTCCTCTGGCCTGTACCCCAGCTCTTGTATAAAAATAAATAAATCTTTAAAAAAAAAAAAAGATGGAAGGAAGGAAATGGAGGTCTCCTTCCTGCCCCTGAGAGATATCTTCACTCACCATCCAACTCATCCCCTGGGGCTTAGCCCAGCAGCCTGGGCATCTGGAACTTTGCTTTAAGGCCTGCTTCTTCCAATCCATGGTTTAGTTCACAGGCCCATGTATGCCTGGCTACTACTTCAGGTCCACCTGTGGTCATTATAAGCATCTTGCTGTACCAGCCCACCAGATAGCAGTCTTGAAGGGACTGAATCTCTTTTCAAGTGCCTGAGTGTGCTCTGAAAAAAGGTTTGATTATTTCTCAGAAGCAGTGGCTAGGAAAAATCCAAAAAAAGCAGGCCTCACTTCTTGACCTGGCTGTCCATCCAGGGGCCTTGTGATTTGAGAGAAGTGCAGCTTGCCAGTCTAAATTCAAAGACCAGAACCTCAATCAACTTGATGGACTCAAGGCCTCTCTGAACATGTCAAACTTGTCCCCAGTGAGCCTACCATATGGAATTCTGTGGTCCGTTAGCTCCCATATTGATTTTCTACGGTCTACAGTTTTCAAGCTTGCAAAACAAACCTCTAGAACAGAACTTAAGAAGAATAAATAAATTCAGCAAAGATTCCCCTTTTCTAACCTATCATCTCCACACCCTAACCGGGGAAATGGCCAGTGTTCCTAGGATCAGTGAGGACAGGGGAGAGAACATCAATATATGTGAGGACTTAGCTTAGAGTTAAGGAAACGGAGCTGGGTCATTCATTTCAGAGAATTTTGGCGGGACCCCTCTGTGCGAGTCGGTGCTGCATGCTGGGGAATTTGAGAGGAATAAGTTTTATCCCAGCACCTTGGAGCCAGGAGTCAGATATAAGAATGAGGGCAATTATAGCCCAGAATGATGGCTGTGCCCAGGCACCATGGCAGCCAGGGGAGGAAACAATTATATATCAGGGAAGCAGGGCTTCCTGGAGGAAGTGATATCCCCACTGGGCTTTGAAGACTAAATAAGAGGTCACAGCAGACAAGGTGAGGAAATGACTAGCTCACTCCAAGGCAAGTCAGTGGGGGAAAAACAGAATTTATTTTCTTCTGGAAATGATAAATCATCTTGATGGTTAGGACAAGAGGGAAAGGGAGGCAATTGGTCGGAGATGAGATTGGACATGTAATCAGGAGCTAAAAAGAGGATCAGGACTAGGAAAGAGTAACTGCCATTCATGGTAGAGTTGGCATTAAATTAAGTTTGGTATTTGGGTGCAGCTAAATAGAGATAGTTAGCCGTATCTGATTGGCTAAAAATGCATATGCTTTACATGTACTGTCTCATTCAGACCTTGGAACAAGCCTGAGTTTCATACTCTTCATACTCCATCTTACAGACAGGAAGACAGAGGTACAAGGGTCAGTGGATTGCACAAGGTCACACACTTGGTATGTGGTGGATGCAGGGGCTGAGGCATGAACAATGGGGGAAGTCTGGTTTAATGGGGACAGAGTTTTGGTTTGGGAAGATCAAACAAGTCCTGGAGATGGATGGTAGGGATGATAGTACAATTAAGTGAGTTTGGTTAATGCCACAGCACTGAACATTTTTTTTAAAAGATTTATTTATTTATGCATACAAGAGCTGGGGTACAGGCCAGAGGTGTGGGGGATGAGAGGATTCACCAGAGACAGAGAGGGGAACAGAACAGGCAGATTGACTGAAATACACTGCTGAGGGGAGCAGTGGGCGAGTCAGGAGAGGTCTGCTGCACTGTGTGGGTAGCTCCCTGACCGGGGATCGAACTCGTGCTGCAGAGGCTGCTGATAGCTTCATAGGTTGTGTCTTAACCCCTCTGGCCACCAGGGAAGCCCAGAACCGAGCATTTATAAATGGTACAAGTTATATGTATTTTGCTACAAGGGAGGGAGGGAGGGAGGGAGGGAAGGGAAAGGATGAGGGAAAGAAAGGCAGGCAGGCAAAGGATGGGCATGGAAACAGGTATTCCACCTCTGCTAAGAACAGGCGGGGAAGAAAGTTCGACTTCCAAGGCCAGACATGCCCCAAAGGGGAAGTGAGCACCCAGAAGAGGAAGGACTCAGCTTTGCATGCAGCGTGTGGTGCGACAGGGTCGGTTCTCATCGCCTTTCTGGGAAAATCCAGTAAGCTGGCTGAATCACAGATTTCCTCTATCTAATCTGTTCTGTGGTTCTGCCTTATTAGGAAGGCCTGGCTACTGCAGAGGATGAGGTAAGAGGCACAGCAAGCCAGACCTTCACCATCCTGGACAATTCCAAGTCCTTTGACTTGCAGTTGTGCTTGAGAAGAATGTGCCTTATTATAGGTGCTGTATCACAAGGGTCCTGGTGACCAAATGGGGTCTACAGGAAAGTTTACCAAAGAGTTCTTCTACAAAGGTGTAGGCAGGGCTTAGGTAACCAGATAGGCTGGTGAAGTCCTCCAATGTGTGATGGGAGGACTCTTTTCACCCTTCATGCAAAGTGGTTCTGGAACCCTGAAACAGTCCGGCAACAATGCCCTGGGTAAGAACGACTCTGCAGGAAGGGAGCGCTCTCTCCTCCTACCTTCAGTTTCCTGCCAGGGCTCCCTCTGGCCATTCAACAGGAAACCAGGGGACAGGTTGCCCAGTAGCGAAATCTATAAGGGTCAGTCTCCAGGTCCAAGCAGGGTAGTATAAAACCCAGCAAGGAAATCAGGGGGGCAGATCCAAAGTGAATCAGCAACGTACTATATACAGTGGCCTCCAATGCAGGGCTGCTGAGAAGTGGCCTTCCCTGGATGGATGACCCCACCACCACCACCACCACCTCCACCCCCACACAAGCTGACCTTGGACCCAAGAGCCTTGGGCTCTTTCAGGCCTGGAGGGAAGCTGTATGGTTTGTTGGAAGAGCCCTACTTGCTAATGTGGGAAGCTGGCCAGGGGCCTAAGCCTCCTATGCAGGCATTGACAGATGCGTTCATTCAGATATTTGTTGCCAAGCCAGGCCTAGGAGGCACATGAGGAATTACGGAGTGGATTCAGCCATCCCAACAAAATATGCTGAGATAGTGATGCTTTGCCTCCACCAGTTCTGGAGATTGCTCTCAGTCACTGCCTATGTAAATTGGCTCAACCAATTTTTCCTCCAGAGTTGCCACAAAGATACAAAGAGAACATTTTCAAAAAGCGGAAGACACTGTGCCTGGCAAGGAGTAAATCAATTACATTGACAACAAACACCTGCCTCCCCTCTCAGCCACCACCTCCCTATCATCCTATGTTACTGCTAGCATTGCACTTAGGGTGTAGTTGCGGTTGGCTCCCCTTCTCCAAGTCAGACTGCAAGTCCAAGAGAAGAAACCACTGACCACTGAGTCCCCAGATCTTGGGGCTGGGTTTACAAGGCCAACATTTCTGTTGTGACCAGACGTTGCCAACGGCTTCACATGCACTGACTTTTGAGGACAGACAACTCTGGTTGGGCAACAGCAGCACTCGGTCCACCTTATAAGCAAGCAAGCCCAGAGAGGTTGAGCAACTTGCCCAAGGTCACAGAGTGGATGTAGGATAAGGAAAATGTCAGGCTTTTCTGCCCTCCTGCCATCAGGACAGATGATGGATCCTTGCGGTTCTGAATGCATGCCTGATGGCGGGCACCTGGAGTAGGGTGTGGGCATAGGTAGATGGGATTCACCTGGGCTGAAACTGAACTTTTAAGGGCGGCATCACGGGGACGCCAGCAGAAGCAGAGACGAGAAGCAGTAGCAGTAGAAGCAGAATCTGAGAGAAGGCCGGAGAGCCCAGAGTGAAGCTCTGCTGGGGGTTGGGAGGCCTGCCAGCCTCCCGGCCCCCCAGCACCCCTGCCTGCCGTGTACCTGGTAATCTAAATAAAAAACCTGCAAAAGCCACTGAGGACTCCGATTCCTCCTCCTTTACCCGGTCTGCTGGATATTAGAAAACCTGCACTGTGTCCATTCCTGCCCCTACAGTGGACAAGCCACAAAGCCAGCTTTGCAACTCTGGAGCCCAGACCTCAAATGTGGGCCTCAAACCGCCGCTCACTGAGCGAGTGGGAGCGGGAACGAAGCAGCGGGTCAATCAGCACCCACCGTTGCCTGGGCCGCGACGGCTGCGCGCGGGGACAAAGGCCCTAAGCGGCGGAGGCCGGACGTGGCCAGCGGGTTCCGCGCGGGGGCGGGAGCGGGGCCGGGCCCTTTAAGGGGGCGGGGCGGCGGCGGGGGGCGGGCCGGGGGCGGGGCGACGGCGCGCGGGGGCGGGCCGGGGGCGGGCCGGGGCGGGGCGGCGGCGCGGGGGGCGGGCCGGGGGCGGGCGGCGGCGCGGGCCGGGCTGGAGGGCGCGCGGAGCGAAGGGCGGCGGCGCTGACGGCTCGTGCTCGGCCCGGGCTCCGGATCCGCTGTGTCCCCGGCTGCCGGCCCGCGCGGCGCGCCCCCCGGACCCGCGCTCGGCCCCGCGGAGGAGCGGCCATGCCGCCGCGGCGCAGCATCGTGGAGGTGAAGGTGCTGGACGTGCAGAAGCGGCGGGTGCCCAACAAGCATTATGTGAGTGCGCGCGGCCCACGCCCCCTCGCGCCGGGCCCGGCCGGGGGCGACCCGCAGCCCCCAAGCTCGGAAAACTTCTGCCCTCGGCGCTCGCTGCCCCCACCCCCTCCTCTCGGCCCTCGGCCTGGCTGCTGCGCGGCGCGGGTCTCCCGGCTCCTCCCCTCTCCCCTCCCCCCTCCCGGCCCCCTCTGCTCCTCCTCCAGTCCTCGCGCCTCGCACCCACCCGGCTCCTCGCGGCCGCTGCTGCCCCCCACTCTCGTCCTGCCCATCCGTGGACAAGCCTGTCCCCAGCCGGTGTTGGTGACAGGGACAGGAGGAGGGAGGGAAAGCAGCGCCCGCAGGCCGCCCGCCCCGTCCGGTCCTGCCCTGCCGTCCAGGGCGCTCGGCCTCGGTGCCCAGCCACAGGTAGCCCCCTGGAGGGATCGCCCGCCGAGCTCCGCCTCGTCCTCCTGGAGAAACCGGCCTGAGCGTTAGGGGAGCTCTCCCAGCACCGATGCTTTGAGTATACCTGCGCCTTGAAAGGGTTAAAAATCGCCCCTGCCCCTTAAAAGGGTTAAAATAGCCCCTGCTCCCCCTCACCCCAGTAACTTCTGCGTCAGAATGTACCGAAGTTTTCTCCAGGTGTCTCTCTCTGTAAACTAGTGATCTGGTTTCCAGTTGGCGAGGACTTGAGAAATGGGCCAGTAGCGTCAAAGATGGGAAGGCTGAGGCTCAGCAAGGCTGCAAGCTATAGAATGGGGAGGCGCTTTCAGGTTTTCGGGCCTCTGGAAGGTGTTGGGGCCCCAAGGGGCACGTCGGTGGGGAGTGGTTTCCACAGCAGCTTGGGCGCCAAATCTGCAGGTTCCAGGGGCCCTAGGACCATTTCAGAGGTTTTGGTGGAGAGATATTGGGGCGGTGGGAGGCTGGGCCCAGGTGAGGCCTTGGGGAGGCCTGGCTACCAGAGAAGGGGCTGTGGTGTCTCTGGTGGTGAGAAGGGGGCAGTGGCAGCTGTGAGCTGCTGCGGGAGAAGTTAACCAGGAAGGGAAAAAAGAGCAAGAGGGAGGGAGAAAATCCTAACAAAGAAGTGTAGAACAATGAATAGCAAAGGGCGTTGGCTGGCTAAATTCGGCTCCTTGGCCTCCCTGCAAAAGTCATCTTTGGATCTTTTTTCACAAGAGCCACATTCTTCTAAAGCAGATCTCTATGCCCTCCATGAGTAACCTCTAAAATTCTGAAAGGAGATAGCTGGGCATCCAGTCTGCACTCAGAGAAAAAGGGTGTGCTGTGTGAGTCTGTATTGTTATTGGCTGGGCAGCCAGTTATTCAGCCCTTTGCCAGGAGGTGGGAAGCTATTTCCTGGACCTGTGGCATCTTTAAATAGAGTGAAGTTTCCCTTGATTCCAGGGCTGAGCTAAATTGTCTTTTTTTCTTCCCCCCCTTTTTTCTGCCAACTGTTTCAAATGCTGCCAAATCTTGGTTTCTTGTTTGAGCCTGTTGAGGGTGAACCTGAGTAGCCTCTTTGCTATGAAGACAGTTTTCACCAACATGGCAATGGGAGGAAGTGTGAAATTCCCCAGGCTCTCTCCTACCAGACCTGTGAGCTGGCAGACAGCAGGCTGGACACCGCTGTCTAACCTGGGCATCATCGTCCAAGTGCTCTCTCCTTTCTCTCCCATCACAGCATTTCAGGAAGAAGTTCTTAAATCCATTTGACAGATGAGAAAACTAAAGCTCAGGAAGGTGAGGCGGTGCACCTGAGGTCACAGTCAAGGGCAGAGCAGGGATATAAATCCAAGTCTGTTGGAGCCCAGGAAGTGGTGTATCCCAAACCAAACACCTTCCCAAAGGCCACACCCTTCATTTTTCCTAAGCAAGGTTCCCTTTAAAAAAAATGAGAAATCTGCCATTTGTGATCTGAGACTTTTCATTCTTTGCTCACTTAGATGCCTCACTGCCAACTCTAGTGATTCTGCATCTTTGAGGGGCATGTTACTCTTTCCACCCCCAATTTGGGAGCCCCTTGACTTGATTCTAAATGTTACAACACTGGTTTGGATGCAGATCTTGAGCTTCCCACTTGCTGCATGTGTCACCTTCCGAGCCTGCATTTTCTCTTCTGTAAAGTGAGAATGAGGTTCCCACTTCCTGGAGGAGACTTGGTGTTCCATAACCTTCCATGCCTGCCTCCCTGCCCCGTGGTGTCCACGTCACTCTGATTGGGAACATGAGGAGGGATTTCACCAACAACTTGTTTTTGTACTTTATAATTTAGTCACTTTTATGATTCAAGGGGCCCCCCTCCCTGTAACCAGCCACGTGGTTTTATCAGATGAAGAGAGACTGTGGTTTGAACTGAAGCCTGTTGAACTGAAATCTATAGGTACCGAGTAAAGTTAGTGCCAGAATGGCAGCCACCCACACCCCATTCCTGTTCATACGCCATACTCACCCTTGCCACTCTGGAAGGAATGGGCATGGAAACAGCTGTTAGCATGGGCCTGGATTTCATCTCATTGGGCATCATCCTTTCTGAACCAAATCCAGCCACCCTGGGAGGATAACATGAACAGAGGAGTTGGACAGTTCCTGGTTCTGCCACGATCTGCTGTGTGACCGTGGACTAGTTGATTTACCTCTCTGAACTCTGAGCTCCACCATCTATAATCCGTACATTTTAAACCCTGCTGCTTCCCTCTAAAGTAGAATTTAACTGTTGACATTTGGGCAGATCATTCTTTGTTGGGCGGAGGGGTTGTCCTGCACATTATAGAATGTTTAGCAGCATCTCTGGCCTCTGTCCACTAGATGCTAGTAGAATCCCCAATTATGACAACCAACCATGGAGGGGCAAAATGGCTCTTTCCCCAAACCCTGAACCCACCCAGTATATTAGAATGTGCACATGTTATGGGGTGTTCTGGTCACCATGCCCCTCATTCTCATTCTCCACCACCCTCCCCACCTGGACCACCACCAGCTCATCTCTCAGTTGCCTTGGAGGGAACAGGTCACAAGTACTTTAGATGTCATTGGAGAATTGCATCTGGAACTTTAGGGCTGGGCCACCTGTTCTACCTGCAGTGGCATCTTTTTCATGATCAGGGAAGCAGCCTTTCAGGTACTACCCCAGCCTCCTTCACCTGTGGGCAGATATCCTCTGTGGGCCCAGGGACAGAGCCACAGGCCAGTCTGGAGAATGCAGGGGCAAAAGCCCCCAGAGCTTCTGAAATCCCCAAGGTGGATTGAGATTATCATTGGTGATAATATCAACCATATTATAACTTGGAGAGGGACCCACCACCTTCTGTTGGAGGTAGGAAAGTGAAGTCTTCGGAGGCTGCAACCTTTCTCTGCCTATGCCAGGGCTTTCTGGATGAATAGGAAGGTTAGAACTCATGTGTGACTCCCCCACCCCCAGGGAGACCCTTTCCAGCTATGTTATCCTCAGAGCTGAAGAGAGGAAGAAGTGCTCTCTATAGATTCTGGGGGTTTTATTTGGATTATTCCATTTCCTGCACTGGAGAGGGATGTGTAAAAGCTTTGGGCTTGGGACTGCGATTCTGTTAGCAGGATCCAGGAGATATTGCCTTGCTCTTGAGATCTTTGGATACTAAGGGAACAAAATGGTGGTGGTAATAGTTAGAGCAGCAGTAATCCTAATAGCTGATATTTGATCAGTTGTGGGCCAGGCACTGATTAAGGCCTTTGTATTAGTCATCACAGCAACCCTAAAAATAACCCTGTATAAAATCATTATACAGATATGTATAATAATAAAAAACCTATCTACCACCCAGCTCTGCCAGATGTTTCCATTTTACCACATTCATTTAAATCTTTTTTTTTTAGAAATAAGATATTGCATATGCAAAGCCTCTTCTATGCCCTCCTAATACCTACCCCCCAAAGAAACAGCATACATTTGATATTTATCATTCCCATGCACTTTTTTTTTTTTAAGATTTATTTATTTATGTATACCAGAGCTGGGGTACAGGCCAGAAGTGTGGGGGGTGAGAAGATTCACCCGAGATAGAGTCAGGGAACAGAACAGGCAGATTGACCAAAGTACACTGCTGAAGGGAGCAGTGAGCGAGTCAGGAGAGGTCTGCTGCACCATGTAGGTTGCTCCCTGCATGGCCAGGGATCGAACTTGTGCAGCAGAGGCAGCAGATTGCTTCATAGGTTGCATCCTAACCCTTTGTGCCACCAGAGAGGCCCTCCCATGCACATTTTAAAAACACACTAGTAGATGTTTTCTTCTTTAACAGCTTTATTGAAATGTAATACATGTGCCATAAAGTTCACCCCTTGTTAAGTATATGATTTGCTGACCATTTTAGTAAATGTATTCAGTTGTGTAACCATCATCACAATACAGTTTTTTTTTTTTTTGGTTTTTTTTTTTTAAGATTTATTTATACATGCACTGGGTACAGTCAGAAACGCGGGAGGGTGAGAGAATTCACCAGAGCCAGAGCGGGGAGCAGAGCAGGCAGAAGGACCGAAGTAAACTGCTGAGGGGAGCAGCGGGCGGCAGGAGAGGTCTGCGCGCCATGTGGGACCGTCCTCCGGGGGCCGGGGAGCAGCCGGGGATCTAACTGTCGCTGCAGAGGCTGCGGGCACAGCGCTCAACCGCTGTGCCACCGGGGAGGCCCCACAATACAGTTTTATAACATGTCCAATCCCCGCCAAAGACCCCTTGCCCCTGTTTACAATTAGTCTCCTTCCCACCCCAGCCCCAAACGCCTTTTAATGTTTTAACTTTTTAACAGTCCCCCAAAATCTTGTATGGAATGTTTTAAAACTATATAAAAACATCACTCATGTGAGATCTCTGCTGATAAAAATCCAGTTCATTTTAACTGCTGTTTTATATTCCATTTATGAATATACCCCTGTTGATTTGAGCTCCTAGAAGGGCCTTTAGGATGTTGCCAGCAAGAAAACTGCATAGCTGCTCCTTGCACATATTCCAGAGGTAGGACTGCTGGTTCTGGGGATTTGTGTAACACACCTTG